GACGATTTTGTATATATACACTAAACAGTAATCCCAAGAAATAAATAATATGCATCAAAAAAATCCCATGCCATTCTTCTAAACATATATTAGGTGTTAATCCAGGCATTACATTTAGAAAATATCATAGTTATTCTGTGAAATTCTTTTTTATGGCCCTCCATGGGAATCAATCTTTGGCAAACATTTTGAACCAAAAACATCACAAGTCAACCTTCCTGCAGTAATTAGAGCTTCTTCTATACTTTGTCCAAGGTTTCAAGTTTCTGGCTCTTGATGCTGGAATCTACAGATACCAGACACCATCTCTTCTCCGAAAAAAGAAAGCAATGATGTCTAACAATATTCTCCTCCAAAATGTTTCTGCCAAACATTAAAAAATGAGGATGTAAGCACCTCAAAGTTCTACCTAGTGACTGTTAAACATTTCATAGTCAAACTTTCAGCCAGATGATTTCTTCAGCTCTAAAGCTTAGATTCAGAGACAAGAACAAAGCTGATGCATCTCTGGCTAGTGCAACCATAAGTGGAGAAAGGTCATCTCTAAATTTTCTGTTAAAATTCACACTGCTTATGTTATTCCTTGGATTGGTAAAGTAGATTCACAGTTCTTTAGGCAAAGCAGATGCAAAAATACCCTTTAAATGATTATGAAAAGCAACAAACTTCCATCACTGTGATTTCTCTTAGTGAACCATTACCTAAAATTGTTCTGTTTAATAAACACCGAGTGTCAGGGGTGGTAATAAAAAAGCTATGACACTTCCTGCCTTTAAGAGGGTTAGGATATAGACAAGGAGATAAGCCTTTTAGATCAAACAATTAGGGACCAATATAAGAATTTTTTTTTTTTTAAAAAGCCAGGTTGTAGAGTGTAATAAACAGTTTATGAAGCTCTAAAGGCCCATCACAATCATTTTTTCAGAAGAGTGGCCCCAGGCTGTTCCTTCTGCATAAAGTTGCTGGCTTACAAAGCAAGAGAATACATTTGAAATCAACTCTATTTCCCTGGTCACAAATGAATGGACCATGAATCATGAGCCAGGCTAGCTATGTAAGATTCTACGTAAGAGATGATATATATACACATACATACATACGCACGTGCGCGCGCACACACACACATACACACAATCAGATCCTCTATTTGGGAAGTCTGAATGGGCGATGTGTGAAAAAGACTAACATAGAATCACTGGAGCTGCTGTGGGATCGGGAATGACAACGAGCCACTACTGCAATCTCTATGAGGCCTAGTATACATTCCAGTCTAGGAAGGACAAGCACAGAGGGACTACTTGGCTGCTGAGCCAGTTTCCTATGCTTCTTCAATTCCCATGTATCTTACAATAAGACCCTATTATTTAAGGTTACCCTAAGAATCCATGCCACATATATGATACCGCTAATAAGTTTTTTATAAGAGACCAAGAAGGGGTAAAATATCCAAATATGGTACTATTATCGAAGAATACATAAAATAAAAAGAGCATGGTATTATATCTTGAATGCATAAAGTACTCAGGAAGAGGGGGAGAGAAACATCTCTTGGGCAGGCATATAGCCAGAGCTCAGGTTTTCCTTATGTGTGTTACATTATGTATGTATCTGAAACAGATGAAAAGACAATGTTAAGTGTCTGACTTTGATTTGAGGGACACGTACTGAAAACAGAAAATATAGAAGAAATACATCATGTTCCAAAAACTAGGCTTCCATCTCAATGGAAAAGGACATCTCAAACAAGAATGAAGATATGGTGAACTGACATTCACAGCCACGTGAATCAGAGAGAGCCTGTTCTTAATGGGAAACTGCCCCCAGAAAGATAAAAATTCCTTTGTCTAGTTATTAGAAGAGAGTGGCATCTAGAATAATATTTCAATGTTTAGTGGAATTATAGACAAGGTAAATATCATTTTCCTGCCTTTTTTCTCAATGTTATCTTTCCTCCCCTCTTTAGAAGCACTTTCTTGTCCTACCTTCCAAAAGCCTTCTTGAGTATTTGTTTCTGTCCCATGCTTTTGAATTTCATTTTATTATATTCTTTAATTTACCCCCTCCCTCCCTAAACAGACTATCATATGAAAGCACTGAGGGAAAAAAAAAAAAAACATTAAACTTAATTGGATGTTTTCTTATTAATGTATCAGTTATACCACATTCAAAGTTACTTAGAAGTTTGAGAAAACGTTATTTTCCACCACCCAGGCTCCAAATCATAGTAAAACAAGTCAAAGAAAGGAGAAAAAGACAAAATACCTCTAAGAAAATAAGTTATGAACACCTGGAACTAAATAAAGGGAGTAGAGGGAGTTGCTGTGTTGGAGGCAAAAACTTAAAGCAAAGTCAAAAGAACAGGAAAAGGTTTGACCCTCTGACAGGATTACTGGGATCGTAAGCATTCTTTCCTGCTGGCCTGTAACAGGAAGTCAGTAGTTATCCAAGAGTGAGTCTTGGAGAAAATTATTTCAGCAGCTCAACTGTAATGTGATTAAAGAGTGCGGGAACGTGGGGTGTGAGGAGGTAGAAGTCTGGGACAGAGAAAGTTTATTAAATAATGGTATACTAAACAGTCAATGGCTGCTTCTACTTTTTTAGATATTAGAATATTTTATTAAATACATATCCACTTACAAAATAAAGCAATACAGCTTGCTTACTGGCTCTGTTATGTCTGGTTTATACTAAGCCGAACCTTAGGGGCTTTAGAACCTCTGTATTTCTTAAATTCCAATGCAATCATATGGTATCAATTATAGTAATTTCTGTCAATGAAATTAAGAACTAAAGTGGGAGAAAAAGCCTGTATCCTTCTGCACAAGAAATGATGCCCCTCATCTTTTTAACGAAAATGTTAGAAGAAGAATATTTTATATTGAAAAATGGAAGTGAAAACCAAGCATGAGGTCATTACTTCTTTCATTTTCATTTTACCAAGAACAAAAAGAACAATCCAGCATTTAAGAACCAAATTCCTGTCCCATGACACAGTTTACAGTCATCATGATAAAATTAACTTCCTTAGCCCTGCTGTTAAAACAAGAAAAAATGAAACAGGATGTTGTCTCTAACTATTGTTACCTAATGAAGTTCAGGTTCATCCTCACTTTTCCTTGATATAAAACACCAAGATGTGATAAATCAGTAATTAGGAAATAAAAAATCCAAACAGAATGTGCCAGATAGTTCTAACAGTTTTCCACAACATAAGAAAGACTGTTTCTTCTAGAACATCAAAAAGTTGGGGCAGCGGGGAGAAATCAGTAATTTTCCAACAGCACTTTTTACAGTAAACTGAAGAGAAAGAGCTTTTTACAAACACAAGAAATATAATGTATATATTTAAAATAAAAATACCATTCATCTTCCTTTGTATATATAATCCCTTTAAAGCTAGGATTATTGTTCTCTTCCCTAGAAAAACATTACTAACTAGAGCTTCAACCCGTGGCATGACCACTGATACTTCCAGTATGTACTATATATACTGTTTTGGTAAAATAATAGAGAAATTATCTGGAATCTGAGAAAAAGTACTCACCTATTTGAGTGTTAAAAACACTTTTCTCTGGTAGCTTCCATAAACATACACTTCAACCCATTCATTTTTTAACACCCATCATGTCTCTTCACAGTGCTATGAGATCTCATTTCTAAAGTTTGGTTTTTTCTTTCCACTTTTAACATGACTATCGACACAAGGCAAATACTTAGTTCTCAGCAGCCTTGCTGAAACCCTGTTCTCAGCTGCCCCCTTGCTGCTGGAAATGAACTTCAAGGCTGACTCAGTACGGAAATATACCAATTATGTCTGAGAGAATAAGCTGAGCACAAGGAATCTTGTGAAAAGGCAGAAATCATGAGATGGCATTGCAAAAGTATTCCAAATCTCCAAGTGTATTTGGTTAACAGCTAAAAATATATGACATGTTTGATTTCTCTAATCTTCAACTGTCAAAGTTCCCTGATCCTAATATTCTGAGCTACTAGATGTATATATATGTTAGGAAAAGAACTGAGATAACTGAGAATTTCAGATAGTGAGTGCTGACAATAATCAGAGAATGAATTGTTTACAATTAGCATGTGCTTATTTCTAACAGGGCCCCCTCTACATTCTTAAAAAAAAAAAGAAGAAAAGCCTAGGATACAAACCTCCGAGGAATTCTAACTCATTCATGTGTTCCTGGTTTAATACACAGCACTCTAACAGAGATATTCACATGGCAACTCTATGAAAAATATATTTTCATTTTATAGGAAAAGTAGATGGAATGCAAATAGCTCTTCATCTTGTTTCCATTTAATCTAACATTTGTAACGTTCAAGAGTACTCATACAGGGCGCCTGGGTGGCTCAGTTGGTTAAGCGACTGCCTTCGGCTCAGGTCATGATCCTGGAGTCCCTGGATCGAGTCCCGCATCGGGCTCCCTGCTCAGCAGGGAGTCTGCTTTGCCCTCTGACCCTATCCCCTCTCATATGTTCTCTCTCATTCTCTCTCTCTCTCAAATAAATAAATAAAATCTTTAAAAAAAAAAAAAATTCATAAAGGAGTAAGGGGAGATTTAAAAAAAAAAAAAAAAAGAGTACTCATACAAACATTTCCTTTTGCATAAACTAACACATGCTTCACCAACTGGAGTAAATGTCTGATGAAGGAGAGAGAAAAGAAGAATAGGAAGTCTTAGGAACATAAATCCAAACATTTCACATTAACATATTAATCAGTCCATGATTCACCTTAATCCCACATCTGGGAAGTCTATTTCTCAATAACCAGACGGGACTAACACCACAAAGCCTAAAAAGAAATTCTATGTTCGTCTTCACAATGCTCAACAGCTCAGAAACAAGCATGTATTCCAGGTTCCACTCACATAACGTATCTACATGGCCTCCTACCTCACATCTCTTTCCCTCCCACAGTAGTCAGCCCAGTGCCCTGTACACAGCAGGTACTCAAAAATACTTACTTTATTCTTTCAAAGTGAACTTACCCTTCGAAATGACACAACATAGAACGTGTCTCCCCTTCTACGGATGGCCTCAAAGAAGTCTTGATAACTTCTGGGTGATGCGTAATACACTTGCAGCTCACTCCCCGAGTTCCTGCTGAAGGAAGAAAAGGGCAAAGTGTTCTTAAACTAGCAAATTTCATATCCTCTCAAAAATACTCCCCATTCTAAGGCTATGTCTGAATTATAAGAATTTCTCTCCCACAAAATATTAGTAGCATTTGGCAATAATTTTTATAATAACAACATTTTGAAAAGCTCAAGGTCAGGATAATTGTAAGATCCAATTCACTAAATAGCTAAAACTCTCTTTTCTGAATGGAAAGCTCTAAAATGTACCACTCAAGTGCACTGCAAAGCATGTAAAAATAATAAAAGTATCAGAAAACAGATTGCTGCATTGGTTGGCATGATTTTAAATTTTCTGGTGACAGAAATTAAGTCTGAGGGAAACTTCTTTTTTACTACTCCATCAAATCTGTGAGGCATGCTTGCCTATAATGCTGTGTGAAAGGTGGGAAGAATTTAGGATTTGAAAATAAACAGACCTGGCTTTCAATTTCTCCTCCACTCCTCAAGTGGGTATTCTTGGGGAACTCAACCTCTGAGCAACCTCAACTGCCTCATCCATAAAATGAGGATAACCATATAAACCTGCAGGATTGTTACTGGGGTCAGAGATGTTATATATGTGAAGTACCAAGCATGGGTCTCCTATTTCCTAGGAGTCACTCAACAAATGTTGGTCATAGATATTAAAAGTACCATGTCAGGGCGCCTGGGTGGCTCAGCTGGTTAAGCATCTGCCTTCGGCTCAGGTCATGATCCCAGAGTCCTGGAATCGAGTCCCACGTTGGGCTCCCTGCTCAGCAGGGAGTCTGCTTCTCCCTCTCCCTTTACCCCTTCCCCCTGTTTGTGCTCTCTCGCTCTCTCAAATAAATAAATCTTAAATTTAAAAAAATACATAAAAAAGTACCATGTCAGTGCCTTCATAAAATTTTAACTAAAATTATAGTACCTCAACCACATCATATCCCTAAAAGATATACTCAAATGATATTAATATCGTTTTTAATATTTTCAGTCTTTTACTATTTAGCACAATAAGCTAATACCTAAAAGTTAAAGGAGAGTTAAAGAAATAATGTTTCATTTTTCTCCAAAAAGACAACCTATGTTTTCTTTCTTATATGTTCTTCTATGTTTTCAATCAAACTTTAAGAGGAAAAAAAGACTGATCTAAAAGGAAAATTATAAATGAGTCATAAGAATTTTCTTTGAAATAATTCCACTTGCTCACTGTGAGGCCGTTTCTAACCATATTATTTTGAATATACAATCAATTCTTTTTTTTTTTTTAAGTAGGCTCCATGCCCAGGGTGGAGGCCAACGTGGGGCTTGAACTCATGACCCTGAGATCAAGGCCTGAGCTGAGGTCAAGAGTTGGATATTTAACCGACTGAGCCACAGGCACCCCTGAATACATAATCAATTCTTATTATTCATGGTAGTTATGTTCTATAAAGTCAGTGTGAACACTGAATTAGTAAATACTGAAACATTCTAAGGGAAATATAGAGTTAGGTTCCTACAAGCCCCTAGTTACATTTTTGTCAACTGATCAATATATAACTTTGTTTTATGTTTCTGTTTAAAGATACCTCCTCTGACATATACAGTTTATTCATTACCATTGAACCCAAAGTCAACTGCACTATAACTTAATGCCTGAATGAAGCTTATCTAATATGTAGATTTTCCCCATATAGCACAACACAGTCTTCTTGAACAATAGGTAGTCCTTTAGTACTATGCTACAGGGCCATTTTAAACAGTGAAATCACCAACAAAAAGCAGAAAAATGTGAAAAATATGGCACTTAATAGACCTCAAAAAGAAACTTGTTTACAGTATGAGAGCTGAAACAGGAAGGCACCAGAGTGTTGCCTTCTTAATTAAGCCTCACCCGGGACCATCTATGCACATTCATGAATGACTATGAAAACATCTTGAGTATTGATTTTGGGGCAGAGGTACATTTTAGTGAGAAGGCAGATTCACAGTTATAGAATACATGAGTAATTCATTTTAAACATTTTTTTATTTTTAGATTTTTTTTTTTTTTTTTTAGACAGCGAGCGAGAGAGAAACAGCATGAGAGGGGAGAGGGTCAGAGGGAGAAGCAGGCTCCCCGCTGAGCCGGGAGCCCGATGTGGGACTTGATCCCA